TTCCATGCTCTCAAGGAATGGTATGTCTCTTTAGTAAAGAAACTGTAGTTATATTATCAGTAGCATCTATTTATTACTGTAACAGTTTAAAATGGTTTAAGTAGTACAGGTTTATGCTGTATACAGTGAACCCTCGCTTTACGCGGTTTCACTTTACGCGTTTCTACATTTACGCGGTACCCTGCCAGAACCACTTTACGCGGTGCATCTACTCATACTCATATACGCGGGTGAAGTATAATTTTTTTATTTAGCTCATAAAATTCATACAAATTACCCGGCCAGAAAAAATTTACATTGCTGAAATTCTTACAATTTGATGATCATTTTGAATATAAGCATCATAGATTTTGCATTAGACATACAAATTTTAGAGCTAATGCAAGTATTTTGTTTACTCAGCAAATATGTTATGTTTTGTGCAAATTATATGATGTGTATATTCAAAATATTCCTGGTCTTGCAATGAATCCAGCAATGTGAACTATATTATCCTAACTTTAGTCTGAGGTATTATTTAGTACTAAAAATGTAAATATACTGTTATAACCCAATCATTTCTCTGGTAGGGAGGGAAGGTGGGGATGAGGGGTAGGGAGGGAGGGAGGGACCCAGGGAGCAAGTGGGAAGAGGGGGGGAAGTGGGGTACATTCGGCCCTTAACATACGCGGGGGTTACATAACAGAGATACCCGTGGATGTTAAAAATCCGCGTATATGTGCTGCCCCCCCCCCCCAAAAACAAACCTGGCCCCCCCCATGTCCTTATTTACCGTATATACCTGTGTGTAGTTCAAGTTTTTAAGACCAAATTATTTGGCAAAAAATTGGGGGTCGACCTCTAAACGGGTAATAGTTTCGTTAGGTTGAAAAATATTTACCAGTAATTACCAGTAAACAATGGAAACGATGCACCAACGCACCACCAGCTGTGAGTGTCGGTACAGTTGCCAGGGCAGATCTCTTGCGTCATCATAGCAAGCCCAAAGTAGCCAAATCCATGGTATGGTAGCACAGGACGATGTAAAACAAAGTATTCATTTATTAAAGTTTATTTATAGATACTGTACATAAATTTTTGTTCATTACATTTGAAACATCAATCTTTGTTAATTAAATTTGAAACAAAAGAAAACTACGATACCGTATTTTCATTAAAATATTACATCACAAGTATATTTTACCTTAACTGTGACTGAATGAATATAGGTATTCTCAGAAATAAATATGGAAATATAATATTTTTGCTGGAATGACGTACATATTACAGTGGAAAGTGGGATAAAATCATGAAAACAATGACTTTCGCTTTCTTTCGTTATTCAAAAGATTTTACCGTAATCGCTTTTCGAATGGTTTTCAGTTAAAAAACTGTTGTACTCGTACTGTATTACAATAATATTCTATCCTATCATTAGCCTTATAATCCCACAACTGAAAACCATTCGAAAAGCGATTACGGTAACATCTTTTGAACGAAAGAAAGAGAGTCATTGCTTTCGTCACAATTTTATCCCACTTTCCACTGTAATACGTACATCATTTCAGCAAAAATATTACATTTCCATGTTCTCAGAAATAAATGGTAGTTTTGTTGAAACGTAATGTACAATATTTAATATTAAAATGCAAAAATAGCTATAAAAACAATTAATACACCCGTAATGTACTGGCTGGCATCTCCACTCGTCCCTGCTCCCGCGTCCAAGGTCACCACTCCTCCCAACTCGCTCCCTCCGCTCCCTCCTCCACCTCCTCTGCCTCCTCCACCCCCTCTGCCTCCTCCACCTCCTCACTGTCACTACTGCCGACAACGAACACAAATGTTTTGCGAATAACTGCACCTCCACTTCCTATGTACAGGACTGAACTGTACTGTGCTGTGCATTCTTACAAACAATAAACATGGCAAGAAAAGCTATTAAAAAAAAGAGATAAAAATTTCACTTTACTGTACAGTACCTATCCTCAGCGACAGGACGGGGGTCATCGGGCTCATTGTCACTCAATTCCATAACGGGTGGTGAAGTGGGGGTGACGGTGGATTCAGCTGCTTCCTCACTGCCACCAGTGATTGATGGTGTTAAATCTCTCCTTCGGTGATCAAAGAACATGGTGATGGGGAGTTGTCGTCTCTTTCTTTCATTTCTTCCATGATGTTTTTGTATGGAGCGAAAACGTCATCCATCCCTCGCATGAATTTCAGGGCACGCACCATGGAGGGGTCCATACTATAGGCCAGGTTTTTCAGTGCCTCAATATTCCTGGTCATCTCCCCCAACTTCTCCAACGTTATTTCTTGGTGCTCTTCCTCATCCTCTTTCCCTTTCACTTCCTCTTCCTTGACTGAGTCTACTAACTCCTGTAGATCCTCCTCGGTCAGCTCAGTGTCATGCTCTTCAATTAGCACCCTAATCTCGTCCTCTGCCATGTCCTGGAAGCCTTCAGCAGCCACTTTCCTTGACAGTGCCAGGGTCTTTCTGAATATTTTCATTAAAATCCATCAAAATCATTTTCCTTGTCATCGTCTTAAGCACCAAACAGCTCCTCCTAGTCTTCTCCTTGAACAGGGCTAGAGGGTACGTGTTTTTCGAATCGTTTTCAATTAAAAAAATGTTACAGCACATGTATATTTTACCTAAACTGTGCCTGAATGAATATATTCTCAGAAATAAATAGTAGTTTTGCTGAAACGTGATGTATTTCAATGTAAAATAGGATAAAATACATGACGAAAACAAAAGACTTTACCTAACCTTCCAATGTTCAAGAGATGTTTAGTAATAAATAATACCTCAGACTAAAGTTAGGATAATATAATTGACATTTCTGGATTCCTTGCAGATCAGGGAATATTTTGAATGTAAACTTCATATATTTTGCACAAAAGATAAAATACTTGCTTTGTGTAAACCAAATTATTACATTAGATCTAAAATTTGTATATCTAATGCAAAATCCATGATGTTTGTATTCAAAATGATCATCATATTGTAAGAATTCCAGCAATGTAAATTATATTCTGGTCGAGTAATTTGTATGAATTTTATGAGCTAAAACAAATATCTTCAGTTAATAAAAAAAAAAAAATATTCTTCACGACACTATCTGTCAATCAAAGTACCCCAACTCGCCTCTCCCCTCTTGCAACCGCGCCAAATGGTTGGTCGGTCAGTCCCAACCCTCCCCCCCACCCCCCACCTTCCCTCCCTACCAGAGAAATGTTGGGTGATGAAACTAGATTTTAACTTTTAGTAATAAATAATACCTCAGACTAAAGTTAGGATAATATAATTGACATTTCTGGATTCCTTGCAGGTCAGGGAATATTTTGAATGTAAACTTCATATATTTTGCACAAAAGATAAAATACTTGCTTTGTGTAAACCAAATTATTACATTAGATCTAAAATTTGTATATCTAATGCAAAATCCATGATGTTTATATTCAAAATGATCATCATATTGTAAGATTTCCAGCAATGTAAATTATATTCTGGCCGGGTAATTTGTATGAATTTTATGAGCTAAATAAAAAATAAAATAAAAATTATACCCCACCGCGCGTATATGAGTAGATGCACCGCGGAAAGTGAAAGTCCGGTACTGGCAAGGTACCGCATATATGAGAAATCGCGGAAAGTGGAACCGTGTAAAGCGGGGTAATACTGTACAGTATTTAGAACTTGTAAGGGCAAATTCTTTTCAGACAAGATGTCAGATATGCTAGAGAAAGACTACTGGCTCCATTTACCTTCGGAGTATAGAATTTCAAATGCCGTTTTTATAGATTTCCTCAATATTGTACAGTTTTAATAAATAGTGTTATCCTCTCATTTCTTTAATTATGATATTAATAAAAAGAAAAGAAAATAAGAAAATTTTTAGTTAACTTGACCTAATCTAACCTTTGAGAGTCAAGCTTTAATATACAGTAGTACCCCGCTTTATGCGGTCAATTGAACCCACAGGGTACCGCGTTAAGTGAAAACCGCGTTAAGTGAACAACAGAACATATGGGATTAATTCCAATAGAGACTGGCCCGACCCCCAAACTCTACTTTTTCGATATTAATAAAAAGAAAAGAAAATAAGAAAATTTTTAGTTAACTTGACCTAATCTAACCTTTGAGAGTCAAGCTTTAATATACAGTAGTACCCCGCTTTATGCGGTCAATTGAACCCACAGGGTACCGCGTTAAGTGAAAACCGCGTTAAGTGAACAACAGAACATATGGGATTAATTCCAATAGAGACTGGCCCGACCCCCAAACTCTACTTTTTCCGACACAATACCTATATTCTAGTAAAAATAACATCTTAATTTTATGATGGTACATGCACACAATTAATACTTAAGAGAAAGAGAGAAATACAGTCGCCAAGTTAATGTCCATTCAAACAATGGACTCAACTCCCTCCCCCTCTTCTCACACTACACTGCTGGCTCTTCCCTCTCTGAGAAATTTTTGGGGGAAAACCACTAGATTTTAATAAATAATACCTCAAACTAAAGTTAGGATAATATAATTGACATTGCTGGATTCCTTGTAAGACCAGGAATATTTTGAATATAAATGTCATATATTTTGCACAAAAGATAACATATTTACTCAGAGTAAACATTATATCTAAAATTTGTATGTCTAATGCAAAATCTATGATGTTTATATTCAAAATGATCATCATATTGTAAGAATTCCAGCAATGTAAATTATATTCTGGCCGGGTAATTTATATTAATTTTATGAGCTAAATAAAAAAAAAAATATTATACTTCACCGTGTACAGTATATGAGTAGATGAACCGCGTTAAGTGAAAGTTCGGTTCTGGCGAGGCACCGCGTATATGAGAAATCGCGTTAAGTGAAACCGCGTAAAGCGGGGTAATACTGTACTGTTATTTATTTTGTGGATTTTATATGATGATTACTGATCACATCTTTGTTTCACAATACCAGAAGTTGGGAAACATTAATTTCTACATAAATTTTTTGCCAGAACCCCAATGTGTGTCTGCTCTTCAGTGCTCGACGGGTTTGCCTCATGTTGTTGCAGCTGTACACAGGAATCCTGCCATTTATGCCTCTCAAAGAAACCCACTTGGAAATATTTATGCCAGTGCATATGGTAAAGTAAGTATCTACAGAAACTTAAGTATGAATAACTGACAAAAGTAATAATGTACAGTGGTCCCTCGGTTAACGAACACAATTCGTTCCAGAAGGTTGCTCGTTAACCAAAAACTTCGTTAACCGAAACCATTGTTTCAATGGGTTTTTGGGTAATTGGTTCCAGCTCACCGAAAATTACATACAAACTAAAAACAAATGCAGTAAAGTACACTTACTTTGAGGTGTGCATGTAGAAGGCTCCTGGTTGATGATGATGATGATGGGAATTAGAATGGGGGTGGAGGAGAAGGGAGAAAGGAAGGCATTGTGGTGGAAGAGAAGTCACCCCATGCTGCCATTTCACCCATAAAATTTTAGTTCACTTGGTGTAATTCAAGATTATTTTCTTTAAATAAACACTGCACTGTGCTATATATTATCAATATGTAAAACATATTTCAAAATGACCAATAATTTGACTGGAAACACAGAAAAAAAGCGTTTATGTTGAAGAGTCTCAAACAAGATGTTCCTTCCTCTGAACTGGTAAACAAACTGACGCCAAGCTCTGTGTGTTGAGTGGCTGTTTGACGTGCAAAAAATTAGCATCCTGTACTTCAATTATGTTCAATAATTGTTAAAATGACTAAAAAATTTAGTATAAACTTTTAAAATTATTGAATAGTACAACCTTCTTGATATTTACTAAAATGGTAAGGAATTTAAGCCCTGAAACCGATTACTGTATTGGTGGACTATCACTACAGCTGGTGGGCAGCCAAATGCAGGTGAAAACATGTTGGGAAAAATTTGTAAGGAATTCGTTAACCGAGGGTTTGCTCGTTAACCGAAGTGAAGAATCTTATGAAAAGTAATTCGTTAACCGAGGCGCTCGTTAACCGAGGGATTACTGTATACTAATTCCATAATGTACAATCAAAAACACTAATCTAGGGACAGGTTAAGCTTGAAAAGCCGGGGATTCGAATAAGTCTCAAACCCGCCTTCCTTCCCCCCAATAAAATGCAAGTTATGTAACTTTACACTATGGAAAGTAAGATCCACTCAAAGGCTTAAAATTACAAGGTTACAATTAACTTAATTCATTTAACTTTCCTACTACCTCTGCACACAGTTTATTGTGCAGTAACATGACGAATTGTATGACTATTTAATGTAGTGTGTTTGGCAATTAAAATAAACATTTGAATAAAACTTGCATAGACAATGGATATTTTGAAGTCTTCATTATAAATTTGAATGTTGATACATAACCATAACAGCTCAGTAATGTAGCATATATACCTAATACAGATTCATGTATGATTATTGTAAAAATGGCTTATAAGACAAATTATTCACACTCCCACCCCCCCCTCCAACTGCCCTCCTCTTTTCCTCCCCCCATCCCCTTGCTCCCTCATCCCTCCTTCCCACCCCTCCACCTTGCCTTGTCAGCTTCCTCTGCTTGTTTCATACTCTCATATATAAAATGTATTTCATGCTTCAATCCTTTATTTTTTACTTCTTATAGATTACAAAGATTATTTGACTGTTTCCCCCATACAGGATTTATGCCACTCAGTTTGAATGTAAGTGGTGGCACACACTAGTAGCCAAGATTGCCAACACGTTGCTCATCAGGCGCGCTCTATTTGAACACCTTGCCAAGCGAGGGGTCCAGGTAATGTAATATAATTGTTTTCAATTATTTTGTAAGGTTTTCAAATCTCAATCTGTTTACTAACTTGGTAATTAGTTTGAGTGATTTTATTAAATGGATAGAGTTGTACTACCTTATATGACCAAAAATATATAGTACAGTATAGTCTGCATTTACGCTGCTTTTGTTTACGCGTTTGGTCATTTACGCGGCACCTTGCCAGAATGAAATTTTTAATTACGCGGTAAATTTCATCATTTATGCGGGTGAAGTATAATTTGTTTATTTACTGAAGATATTTGTTTTAGCTCATAAAATTCATACAAATTACCCGGCCAGAATATAATTTACATTGCTGGAATTCTTATAAGATTGTGATTATTTTAAATATAAACATCATAAAATTTGCAGTAGACATACAAATTTTAGATCTAATTTAAGAATTTTGATTAGAAAGAGCAAAAATTTTATCTTTTGTGCAAAATATATGATATTTATATTCAAATTATTTCTTGTCTTGCAAGGAATCCAGCAATGTCAATTATATTATCCTAACTTTAGTCTGAGGAATTATATATTACTAAAAATGTAAGCCTACTGTTTTCACCCAAACATTTCTCAGAGAGGGAGGAGCCAGCAGCGTGGGAAAAGGGGGGGGGGAGTTGAGTCCATTATTTGAATGGACATTAACCAGCGACTGTATTTCTCTTAAATATTAATTGTGTGTGCATACCATCATAAAATTAAGATGTTATTTTTACTACAACGTAGGTATTGTGTCGGAAAAAGTGGAGTTTGGGGGTTGGCCCAGTCTCTATTTCAATTAATCCCATATGTTCTGTTATTTCATTTACGCTTTTCTCGTTTTATGCGGGCCTCCACGGGTTCAGTTGACCACGTAAATGCAGACTCCACTGTCTTGTACTGTAGTTGTAGAATTCCTATGTTGAATAGATCCTAGTTTCCTCAACATATAATTTCACTAACAGATGCCTTAAATATTCATTCTAGTATATTAAATTGAACTCTTTTCAGACATATCTATGGGTAATGAATACAGAAGAAGATTTTCGCAGTGCCTTCGAGACTGGAGCCACTGGTATCATGACAGACTATCCTACTAAACTGAAAGCATTCCTGGAACAAAATCCACAGTTTTGTCATGACCACAAACTGAGCTAAGTGTTGTTCTAGCCGAGTTGTCTCATAAACAGCTGGCCACTAAAGAGTTTACGTCTTAATAAAAGTGATTGTTCCTCCCCATCCAGTAAGTTACAATGAGATTATGACAAATTTATGCTTTATGGTTCATATCATTTATTTTTTTAGACCATCTCTAGTATAAAATTTGAAATTATAAAAGATACAAGATAATAAGTCTGTTGATAGTTCCACACTGCTGAAGTGGGTACATAGTCAGTATTTTTACATTTCAAAAGATTATTATGTGGTCCTTTGGATTAGTTAATACAGCTTAAGAATATCTTGATTAGCTAATTGGATAATAAAATTAGTTCCCAAGATACTGAGTGTAGATGGCTTTACCATCCACACTATAATGTAACACTCACAGGCACCCACTCTGAGCAGTGAAACAGCTTTCAGTCTTGTACCGAGATTATTATTATTGTAAGGTTTTCCTCAAATTTAGATTACTAAGTGAATGCTAGCACTGCTACAAACTTTAAAACTAAACTGCTCAAACACTCTAATGCTCATTAAGCAGTTTTAAGAAGATAAAATTGGGCTTCAGTGTAACAAATACAGGTCTTATTGGCCCCATTAAATGAGTGACTGTAGAAATTTTATGCTTGGAAATTATAAATGTTAACATCAGTTTGAGGTAAGACAGACATATCTTACTTTGTTGTATACAGTATTGACTCATTTTTATATTCGTATTTATAAAACTAATATGACTCATGTTGTTCACGAATTACATGACTTCCTGCAGGCAATTTTTACTATGCTCATGCATTACTAAAGTCAGTATCTGACGAATAGTTTGACATAAACTTCTAACACATTGTCATTCTTAATATTCACAAAAATACAAGGAACAAGTACCGGGTATGTACAAATATGGAATTTTCACAATTCATGGATAATGAAATTTGGCTGTAAAATAATGATTCTTTTATTAGAATTTGCTACTGTATATTAATTATTCTGTACAGTATATGAAGAAGTATTGTATTTGTCAAAGTGTAATTTAAAAGACTTAAAATTTATATTTCATTTTAATGGGTCATACGATATTTGTGAAAATTCTGTACAGTATTATACTGTTATCGGAAGGTGCACACTGTAACCTCAGGCAGTTCTCAACACGTTTTAAAAAATTTATCGTTTTTGAGACTTTTTTCCATAATGTATTTCTTGCTTCAATATTAATTTATTGTATTCTGTCTATTACAATTATTATACTGTATATATTATACAGTACTGTATTACTGAATAAGGAAAATACAGAGGACTCGGCATCGTGGCACGAGATGGCACGCCTTATACTCAACTTAAGTCTTCTCAAGGACACATAAACCCTTGCATTGGTACAAAATTATCTCAAAGAAGCAGCCGAGGTAACTTCGAGAAACCAGGGAATACTCTATATTATTAATAGTCCTCCGCTTTATTACATATTTCTCCAAATACCATCCGTTAGGGAGCCAACTTTGCTCACAACTACTGTAACTAGAACTATACAGAGGAAACCATCTTCTGCAGTGTGTCTGGTTGTACACAAAATGAGATGTGAAGGACAATCTTCAGTGGACTTTTTGGTGCATGCCAACTTTTAATACAGTACAGTAAATCAAAAACTGCACCCAAAGACAACATGTTACAGATATTCCCATTGTTTGGGTGTCTGCCAAGTTTAAATGAAGGTCAGCCAAATTTATAAGAGATAATTTACCCATGATGAACCATTACTGACTTTTTACCCAGTGAGAATGTGCAATGGTGCTCTGAGGATGCATTCCAGATTTGGTTTTAGGATGTCTAAAAATTTAACAATTAGGTTACCGGTGGTGAGCCATCAGTAAAGGTAAGAGAGAAACCTTCTGGATATTTGGGAAAATCTATTATTAACCTCAAAACTTTCAGAGTACGTAGTTTACTACTCATTGTGTAGGATGAGCTGTTGCACAAAATACGTATTTATTGTACAAATATTTCTCATACATATATACATATATATATATGTTTATTATACAGCACCTGTAATGCTTAGTTACACTAAAAAATGCAGTACTCTTTCCAAGTCAAGTTATTTTACTAGTGACTTCGAGATCATTTTAGAATATTAGGAACATTATAGTTAAGACTCGGGTTTAGTCTTATTTTAGCCCCTTCACTACAGTGATGCCACTTGTAATATTTTATTTGCCAAACATCAGATGATTTTATTCAGCTGAGAGATGACCCTGTAAGCAAAAGGTTAGTAGACTTTCTCCACTAACCCCTACACTACAGGGACACCACTTTTAATATTTTATTTGGCTAATGCCAGACGATTTTATTCAGCTTAGAGATGACCCCATATACAAGGTGTTAACAGGTAAACCAAGACATAAAGAATACCATATTATTCCACCTCATTGACACATCATTTGAATTTCTTGAGGCCATAAAAGGACTCATATTCATAGTTCCATTATTCTTGCTGCTGCGCTCAGTCCAATGTCTGGTCTCCCAATGTATTCATATAAGGTCACATGCTAAGATTACTTTTTGTTTACCTTTATTTTTCTTAGTTAATGCGTCAGTTTTACAGAATTTAGGGTGAAGTGAGTGGTGTTCAGTTAGGTGATATAAATATTTTTTCCTACCTTCAGTATGCAAGTATTAATGTTTTGACAGTACCTGAGTAGATTTCTGATAGTGATCAATATGTAGGATTGACAAATTCTCTATAGCCACAGATTATATAGAGACTTTTTCATATAACTCAGCCTTTCAAAGCAGACTGAAAGCATCTTAAAAATATAGCACCTTGGCACTACCTTCCTCCTGAAATGAAGTACAGTAAACATTTCAGTTTGGTATAGTCATAACTAATTCAGTAATATATCGATTTGGATGGGATGAGATCAATAGCACCTAATTTACTATTAGCTGGAAAATACTTTGTGCCTGTTAGCAGGATTGTATCAAGTGTTTCCCTTTCTTTTGAGAAAAAGTTTGGGGAATCTTTGAGTTACTATACTATAGAAATTACAAAGGATTATCAGTTGAGTTGATAGGTACCGGTAGTTGCAACTTTTAATATACTAGTAGGCCATAGCTTATTCTTCCTCCTGCAAGTATCACAACTTGTTTGACATGGTTGTAAAGCAGGATTATGCTAACAACTCCCTCACTCCAGTTTGCAAACCTCCGAAGGAAGAGACATGTCTGACTCTTCATCTAAATAGAGTACAGTAGGCCCAGATAATTTGCGGATTTTTATTTCATGGTCCTCTATTATTCGCTGATGACACCCTGGATGTACCCAAGAATGTCTGTGGGTAGTTTTAAAGTTGCCGGTATTTTATCGGCCGGGACAGGGAGCCATTCGTTCTAGAGACTGTAATTTCCTTTACAGTGAGTTCTGCTATAACGCGTGTTTTGATAACGCGAATTTGCTCTAATGCGATTTATGAATTAGGAACGATATTTGTATAACGCGAACGCTTGTTTGCTATAACGCGATTTTTGCTTACTATTTCTCCAATTTTGTGGTATTAACTGTGAATATGGTAAAGAAGAATATCAACAAGAAGCGTTCTGGTGATAGAATTCCCGGTGATGATCGTAAAAGAAAGGATATAACACTTGAAGAGAAGCTCGATTTTATCAACCTCAAAATCACCCTTCTCCCCCATCAAGTTAAATATTTTTTCAAGTGTTACATTTACTGTATGATTTCATTATTAGATATGAATGTAACATTTATTTAGACTGTGCTATCCTTTGTGTTAGGCTAACTACTAAATTTTTTCGATTTCGAGTAATCTGCACCTAACCCTATTTTCTCCATAAGCCCTGTTATTTCTATTACGCGATTTTCTATAACACGATATTTTACAAGAACACAATTATCGCGTTATAGCAGAACTACCTGTACCTGTATTGTATATATGTGTATCTGTGTGCAGACACACACACACAAAACACATTCAAATAAATAATGATGGAAAAATCCTCTCACAAATAATCAGAAACAAATGTCGTATTAAAAATGTTGAGTTTACCCTCAAGTCCACTCCGTGCTTTATTAATAATAAAGCACGGAGTAGAGTGTAGGGTAGACTCAACATTTTTAATACATTTGTTTCTGATTATTTGTGAGAGGATTTTCCCATTATTATTTATTTGTATGTGTTTTGTGTTTGTGTGTCTACACAGTATATATATATATATATATATATATATATATATATATATATATATATATATATATATATATAATTGTCCTACGGGCAAACACATAAAGGGAATGTACATTACTTTGTGGATTTGGCAATTCACGGCCATTTTGAGAACCTAACCCCTGCGAATTTGAAGGGCAAGCTGTACAGGCAACTGTAATTTACCGTATACACTTTCAATAAAATGATCTCATATTTACTGTAGTTTGACCCCCGATTTTGGGGTAAAAACTCCTGAGTTTTTCATATATCTCTTGTACAGAGTGATTTTTTTTTATTAAAAAATTCAAAGTAATTTCCTTACACTAACAATACTAAAACACTAGAAACAAAATGCAGTACAGGTAGTTGTATAAATGATATAAGATGATTGAAAATGAATGTGGAAATTCAATATCTTATGCACCAGAGTGAGCAATCATTGTCATGGGAGACATTTCACTTCTAACTGTACATGTAGTGATGCAAATAGCCTCATTGGCTGGTAAAAGGGTAAAAATACCGGTACTTAACCCTTTGACCCCGCGTTCCAGAGCGTCCGACTAGCGCGCCCCGGGTAACATTCCAGAACGTCCGCCTATTTTCCCCCCTTTTTTTTTATTTTTATTTTTTTTATTTAATTTATTTTTTAATTAAATTTGTAAATGTTGATTTTTTCTTGATTTAACCCCGCATGGGGGGTACTGCCAGCAGCACCCTAACCTGGGACTTAAGAGTTAAATATAAATCTAAACATTATTGGGTAACCTGACTTTTTAATCAGCAACACATACAGTACAGTATGTGTATATGGTCACCACTGAGCTTATGTAATGTTCTATAGCAATATTCCTCTCCTGCATGTTTCAATTAAAGAAATATTGTCACAATCTATAAATTATTAATTTTTTTTTTAAACAAACCCACCGAATATTACAATATTGTCTATAGGTACATTATTTGGTAACCCAAGTGTTATGTTCATCCTAGGTGTGTACTATACCTCAGGCTATGTATGGTATACAGTACAGTACATACCTGTACAGTACTAATATTCCCTCCAGCATATTTTTATTAAAAAAATATAACGGTAACAGCTATTGTATAAATTACTACTTTCATTATACACCCACCAGATACCTGTACACACTGTATAGCCAAATAGATTTTTTTAGATTACATGCAGTGTTTAGTGTGCTGATTACCTTGTTTTTCCTAGACATGTACGGTACATGTACAGAATTGCCACAGATAATATATATCCGAAAACCTTGGGGGTGGTTGCATTTTTTTTTCATATTTTTTCAGTTTTCGGTTGCTTAGGACCTACTTTCAATACAATGGCCTAAACCTAGGCTATCCTATACAGGCCTAGATCCTGACCATTTATCTGACCAATGCTATTTTTCTACTTACACCACCGCTTCCCAGCTCTTGCATTTAGATATTTTTACAGTAAACATGATTTTGCTTAAACATTCTATAGTAGTTAAGGTTTTGGTAATATTATTTTTGATCTACTGTCATAGGTACTTAGATAAATATAAGTAAATTTTGGTAATAGTACTCTGTCATCCACTAGCACCACTGCTTCTTGCCACATACAGTACAGTTGTTGGTGTTTTTGTTCTGTTTACATAATTTAGGAAATTTTTACAGTAAATATAATTTTTGGGGGTACATTTTACAAATTCAGCTAAAAACTTAGCAGTGATTAGTGTACACATAAATTTGTGTGTGACAGGATGACATGTGAAGACAGCAGCAGTTTAATTTTAACTTTCTTTCTACCTCCTCTTTTTAATATTTAGTACATAGTTATATATAGGTTACTGAATTGACAAGGATAAGCTGTATCACAGGTGTTAAACCTAACTAAATATAAACTTATCTGTATGCAAGGGTGGCAGTATGTACAGTATGGAATTTGTTTCTGTAATTCGCACTGGAGAGAAAGTATTGTACCATAATTCCGTAATGTACTAGTATGGTAAAATATTGTACCGTAATTTTTTAGCTAAAAAAATAAATATATACAGCCACTCCTCGACTTACGACGGGATTAGGGACCCATATCCAGGTCGTAAGTCGAATTGGTCGTAAGTCGAAAATGCGAAGATAATGCATAGAAAATCTAAAATGAGTGGCTCTTTTTCTTCTCAGCACCACAAAACTCTCACTTTTAAGCATGCCAGCCATTTTAAAGGGAATTGCAAACGAAAATTTTGTCAGTACACAGTGCAATCACTAACGTCGGAACTCGAAAATACATAATTTAAAAAAATTTTGGTATGACTGGGGCGGTGGTATGTCCGGGTGGTCGTAAGTCGAGTAGGTCGTAAGTCGAGGAGTAGCTATACTGTATACAGGTATCACCTTATTTACTTTGGGATTAGGTTCCTGAAAAAGTCATCGCAGCTCGAAATATCATAAATCGGGATCATTAAAACAAGGGGTTCAATGGGATACATTCCCTGCCAGCCTGACACCCACATTCCTACACTAATAATATACAGCTGCTCCCCGACTTACGACGGGGTTAGGTACCCAAATCCAGGTCGTAAGTCGAAATGGTCGTAAGTCGAAAATGCAAAAAATAATATAGAAAATCTAAAATGAAATACAGTACTGTACAGTAAAAGTAGTCAATAATGAAGAATGAATACAGTGTTACTGTGCACTTAGCTTTAATGTAGTCAGCTGAATGCACACGGGTCCCCCGTAATTTTTTAATTAAACATGGAGAATACATTAACTGGATGAAGCAGAGGAGGAGATGGCTGGGTGGGTCATCAATGTTGCTTTCATCAGACAGGTTAACATACAGGGGTAACTTGCTTGTTGAAGGTATTGGATCATCTTTAGGGAGTGAAGAGGCAGCACTGGTGGGGCATGAGGAGACAGCAATGGGGAACTTCTTTAAATACATGTCCAATTTAGACTGCACAGTTTGCCTTTTCTTTTCATTATAAATCTCCCTGTAGCAAGCAAGTGCATCTTGGATCATTCTGTCAACTTTTGCAAAACGCTCAAAATTTGGATCCATTCCATCAAACATTTGCATCCCCTTATTAAGTGTAGCAAATGTCATTTGTTTCACTGAAAAATTTTTTGGGGGTGCAGGTTCTTCTTCTACATTTTGACTCTTCTTCCTCTGCAATTTTCTGTGCATCCAGGTCAATAAGATCCTCGTTACTTATCTCCTCTGCTACATTTTCAACCAACTGCTCAACATATTCATTATCAGTTTCTAACTCCAGCTGTTTACCCAACTCCACTATCTTGTTACTAATCGCAGAAATTACTTCATCTTCATTAAATCCTCTGAAACTGTTCACATATCTTTTCAGAACTTTCTTTCATATTCCATTTATGCACTGACCTGTAACCTCATCCCATGCTACAGCTGTGTTCTTTATACATTTCAAAATGTTGTAGTCCTTCAGTAGCGGGAACAGCCTGAGCGAAGGTCGTACGTAAATAATTCGCTTTAAAAGCAGCAATAGAGGTAGTGTTAGGTGGAATGTAGACTACCTTAACATCAGGGTGCAGGTCGTCCAGATGTGGTGGGTGTCCCGGAGTATTATCCAAAATTAACAAAATCTTGAATGCAATCCCCTTGTTGCAGACAATACTCCTTGGCTTGTGGAATGAAACAAGTCAGGAACCATTCCTCAAACAGTACTAGGGTCATCCATGCTTTCTTATTACTGCACTAAAACACTGCCAGTGTGTGCTTGCTGACATGTTTAAAAGCCCTGGGGTTCTTTGAATGATATATCATGAAGGGCTTTATCTTGAAAGCAGCTACATTCCCCCAACAGAAGTGTGATTCGGTCCTTGAATGCCTTGAATCCCGGCATGGTTTTCTCCTCTTTGTGGATGAATGTCCGTTCTGGCATGCGCTTCCAGAATAAGCCAGTTTCATCCACATTAAATATTTGCTCAGGCAAATAATTTCCCTCCACGATGACACGATCTAGCTCCTCCTTAAAAGCTTCGGCAGCACCCACATCAGCACTTGCTGCCTCTCCACTCACCTTTACACTATGCAAACTGTAACGGTTCTTAAATCTTTGCTGTGAAGTTTTGGTCGCACTCATCTCCTGCCTGCTCCTTCAGGCTTTCGAAAAGGCTTCTTGTTTT